TTTTTGAGAGAAGGGGGGGAGGGGCAGAAAGGAAGGGGAACAGAGGATCCCCAGTGGCTTCTGCTCTGACGGCCTTGAACCTGATGCGGAGCTCAAATTCACGAACCTCGAGATGATAACCTGAGTCGAAGTCGGATGTTCAACCGGCTGAGTCACCGAGGTGACTCTGGGAATGTAGCATATTTGATCCTGCCGATGACCTCACAAGTGCAAGAAATTTTCAGATGGACTGCCAAAAAGTCTTATTCCTGGGGAGATTGGAGCGGTAATTAAGTCTCAGTTTGCTGTCGTGGAGGGTTAATGACTCCAATTTGGGCTTGTTTTTTCTTTTCTAACAGACCCTAATCTTACCTCCCAAAGGTCCTGCCTCCAAATGCCATCACCCTAGAGACTGGGGTTTCAACATATGAATTTAGGGGACACACACTTCTAGTCCATAATAAGCCCTCTCCTTGAACACCAACCACCTTAGCTGGATCCCTCCCTCCTTACCTAACTCTTGCCAAACCCGTATTTCTGAAGTCAAGACGCTGCCCTGAAACGTTGGTGCCACTCAGACTCCTGTAGGTGCAATAAATCCTCTATAACCAAAGCCCCACAAAGTCACCCAACTTTGAGAAATGTCGCTCTCGGGAGATTCCTCCCGCAGCCACACGGGCCCTGCCTTTGGGGGTTTTTCCAGAAACTAGAGGCAGCTGGATGGAGCCAGAGTTTACCTGAGTCTCTTAGGCTCTGTCATTTGAGCAGCAGGCTCTCCCTCCCCCATCTCCACACCCTACTGGGACCAGTCCGGCTGTTGGGCTCACCACGTCTAACCTCCGACGGTCTCCACCGTGTCTGTCTCCACCGTGTCTGTCTCCAGTGTGGTCTAGCTGTGCGCTCCTTTGGTTCCTTGGTGCGCTCCTCCATTCCGCCCTGGGTCACCAGCACCCACCCCGTGCCGTGCCAGGCACCGCTTGGGATTCAGGAGCAAGAGAGCAGAAACCCCTGTCGTCTGGAAAAGGCAATGCACTTTTGCAGACACCAGGGAGAATGCACACAACAGCACTTTCTCACTCTCTCACCGCGAGAGCTCTGCAGCTGGCTCCGAGTAATTGCGTCAGGGTCCTTACCCAGCAAAATAAATAAATAAATAAATAAAAAATAGAAGCCTTTCTCCAACCCAGGATTGCAGGAGACAAAATGAGGGGGGAAACCAGACCTTGACTTGCTAACGCTTCCCAGCCCAGGAGGGGTTCCCGGCAACACGAGCTGGTAAAGGAGGAGGGTCCGGCTTCCCAGCGCCCAGAATCTGAGCACAGACGCACCAGTGGAAGGCTGCTTTCCCGTGGACAGGCTCTGCTGAAGTGTTCGCAGCATCAGAGAGCTCTCAAAATGCCCAGTGTGACAAGCAGCCGGGTCTTATCTGAAGCGCCATGTGCTTGGCGTGAAGTCTGGCGGGGCCTGATTCACAGGAACCCCTGAGGGCGGTGGACAAGGGCGTTTACAGACCTACGTGCTCTTTTAATTGTTTTTTTCTTCTCTCCCCAGAAAAGCAGAAGTGAAGAGGTTTAGGGGGCCTCAGCTGGGCCCTTTCCCCATTCTCCTGGCGCTCCCGCTGGTTCTGAAGCAGCCCTCGTCCCTGCCACTGTCCAGCAGCCAAAGTACGAGGCTCACCGGGGCGGCAGCCAGTGTTTCCAGGCTCCCTTCCCTGGAGACAAAGAGGGCAGTCCCCTGAACAAGCAGGCAGGCTTTGGCCAGAGATCCTACAGCGGTTTCTAAAGCCACAAGCAACAAGAGAGCCCCCTTCGAGCCTGGGACGAGGGCTGCAGCCAGCCGGGATCCATTCCCCTTGTAAACCAGCAGAGCCCAGCCCCTGTAGAGGGGGCTCCAGTTGGCTTATCCTGTCCCTTAAGGTCCTGGATTTCCCCACCTGCCATCTCAGCTCTGAACAGGATCATGCTGGATTCACCTACTCCCCATCCCTGGAAAGAGAGGTCCACCTCAACGATTGAACAAAGGTTATTGAGTGGCAGTGGAGCTTGTTCCTGGAGAGCAGAGGAATTTGCAACCCGGGACATGCACGCTTGGGGAAACCAAGGCACGTTTGGAGAACAGAGCGGGAGAGCGTCCTTCCACAGAGGAAAGGAGGAGCTGGGAGGGAGGGGTTTGGTTTGGAACAAAAGCTGATACAGGAGGGAAATGAGACCTACAGGTGGTGACGGTTTCTCATTGGCTACTGGCTGCTGCAGGGCGGAGACAAAACCCTTCTTCCTGCGGGATCCAGGGAGGTGGCTGAGAGATCTGCCTTCCTGGCTTCCCCACTGCCTTGGGAACGAGGTTTCCTTCATTCACGCGCACACAGCGCCAAACACGGGTGCCATGATGGTCCGCGGGTCCTACCTTCCCTTGAAGATGCCTGCTATGGCACAATGTCTGCACTGAAGGTCCCGCCACCAAAGACCCAAGTGGGACTTCTCTGACTGTAATAGCAAATGCGCTCCTAAGGCCCGGCCCTGCTCCAATCCCTTCTACACTGTAACTCATTTATTCCTCACCAACACCCAGCGAGGGGAGTGGGGGCACCTGGCCCGCTCACAGATGTGGGAAATGAAGTGCAGCTCAGTTCTGGGCTTCCCCAATGTCACGAGCTAGCTAGCACGGGGTGGGCGCCCCTCTGCTGTTCCTCATTCCCCAGCAGGGGCTCTGTGCCCTGCACCCCGGGACAGCGAGTGCCAGGGCCCTCACCTTGGACTCTAGTTGCTATGGGTCTGAGGTCTGCGGAGGCCTCTCGGGATCCCCTTGCTGAGCCCGCACAGGTCCTGGGATGAAAGGAATTATGTTAAGCGTCAGCATGTTTTTCTTGTTAGATCGTCCATGCTTGCCTTTCCACGCATGCCCATTTCAGTCTCTCCTTTTCCTTTCCAGACCCCAGGAGCCAGAAACAAACACACACAGTCTTCACATCGATGTAAATAACCATTGGTTTTATTGAACCCATCTGCTCTGGCTATTGGTTGAAATCACAGCTCTGGAGTGTTCGCCAAGCCCCCCTTGGGCATCAGGTTTAGCTGCTTTCCTCCCCGGGCACGTCCGCTGTGCTCCCTTCCAGAAGGACCCGCACTGCAGAAGCTGTGGGCTCATTTTCTTGGTATCCTTAGAGCCCAAAGTCTAGCCGTTTTCTCCTCGCTAACAATCACGTTGTCTCTCTCTCCTCCCTCCTGTCACCCCAAAAAGCTGCTTCCTTCCTCCTAGTCCCGCAGACTGCCCAGCCCCATCGTTCTGTCCTGAGACCTTAGGTTTGAAGGTAGACAGAGCCAATGCGAGCTGGAGCCACGGCCTCTGGTGCCCACCAGCCCCACCCTGGTCCCCGTGCAGCTGTATGTTGCTTCTCCCCTTGAACTGAGCACCCTTCCCTTGTAAATAACTCTTAACAATTACAGCTCAATGTACCAGGCATTTGTTATGTGATAGACGCTGGACGCCTATGCAAGTTTTATTTTGTTTACCCTCATAACCACCTCCAGGAAACAGAGGCACGCATAGAGGTGAATCATCTATACAAGATCATACGGCTGGGAAGAAGAGGGGGCCCCTGGATCTGAACCCCGCAGTCTGGGTCTCGTGTGAAACTTGTGTGGCTGATCCTTGGTCTTCTGGTTGCATCGCCTTTCACTTTCTGGGTTTTGGTGGGTTGTGTTGGCACCTTTTCCTTATTTTCTGTATCCCCAGTGTCGCTCATGATTTGACCCTATGTTACAGTCAGTGGCCTCATCCTTACTTCTCTTCTGTCTCTTGCCCCCTACCTCCAATCAGTCGTCAAGTCCTGTGGATCCATTCCTTTCGGAAATATTTAGTGAGCACCTACTATGTGCCAAGCACACAGTAGGGGAACGTGATCGATGGAGTCCCATGCAGGGGGTTCTTTCTGTCCAGTCACTGTGCCTCTTACCCCTATATCTTCTACCCTCTGCCCTAGCCCTCATTCAGGCTGATTTGCACACTCATCGGTGGAATCGCCCCCCACCCCGCTCCCCGCTGTGCATTTTGCCTTTCTCTGCACGTGGCTGACAAATAAATCTTACATAAGCCCACCTCAGAGCAGGTCTTAGCTAGCGCCTTCGCCTGGAGCTCAGACTCCAATATTCTCTACAAGATAGCATGCCAAATCCCCAGTTCTGGAGCTCTGGGCTCGCCTAGACCTGTTGGTTCCTACTTGTCCAAACATCCTCCCCGCTGCACTCCTGCATTCAGGGAAAAGACAACATTCCTCGGCAGGCGACCCGCTCTGAGCCCTGCATTGAGTCACTTCGTGTGCTCCCATCGAAATGCACCTTCCCCTGACCTTCCAAATCAAAATCTCCGAAGGTGGGATCCAGGAACCTGCCTCTGAACCGTCTCCCTGGTGACCGGCATGCGGTCCACGGTCTGATACCCACTGGCCTAGGGGACAGTTCAGGAACTACACATCGCCACTCCCCGCGACCTGGCTGTCCTGCCAGGCCGGAGTTCACTCTGTTCCACACAAGGGACCCACATGCCAACCCTCCCACTAGGTCTTCATCTCCAAATCCTGCCCATTCTTCAAGGCCCATCTCAGGTTCTTCCTATGATTCCCACCCGCTCCTCACCCCCTCTGAAATTGATCCGACTCTCTTCTTTTGCTATTGGAACTGTCAGAGGCTCTGGGTGTTTCCATTGCATTTGCTATTTTTCAGTTGGTTTGTTTTTTAATTTTTAAAAAACATTTATTTATTTTTGAGAGACAGAGACAGAACGCAAGCAGGGGAGGAGCAGAGAGAGAGGGAGACACGGAATTCAAAGCCGGCTCCAGGCTCCGAGCTGCAAGCACAGAGCCCGACGCGGGGCCCGAACCCACGGACCGAGAGCTCCTGACCTGAGCCAAAGTCGGCCACTCAACCAACCGAGCCACCCAGGTGCCCCTATGTTATTGTTATGTATGTGCTCTTAGCACATACTTAGCTCCAGGATAAGACTGTACACATTTCAAAGAGCTATCTCTTAATCACCTGACCAGGATGTCCCAACACAGCAGCCAAACAATCTTTAAAAATGTCTCGGTATGTCACTCTTCTGCTCAAAACCCTCCAATGGCTCCTCGTGGCATTGGGAGTGAAAGTCACAACTCTTGTGACGCCCCTTAAGGCCCCGTGTGGTTTGGTCCCCTTTACCTTTGTGACCTCCCCGCCCACCACTTGCCACCTGCCAGACCTGCAGCATGCTCCTGCCTCAGGGCCTTTGCACCGGCTGTTGAATCTGCCTAAATGCCCTAACTCGGTATAGCAGTGGCCTACTTCCCTACCTCCTTTTAGAATGCGTTCAAGTGTCACTTTCTCAAAGTGACTCCTACACTCTTGTTACTCCGCTGTACTTTATATTTTGTCCATTTGCTATAAGTGGATTCATTTAAGATATTGACTGCTTCTTATCGTCACCCTCCACTACGCTGCAGCTCCTGGTGAATCTTCATTTTGCTCACTGCCATGTCCCATGCACCCACAACAGGGCCTGGTAAGAGAAGATGCTCAGTGATTATTTGTGGAATGAATGAATAAAATGATGAGTTGGAAGTCCTCAGCCCTGGCTTAATGCTTTGCTTATCATAGGTGTTTAATTATCGATTACTGATGGGAAGACTTCAATGCCGATCCAGTCCACTTTCTGGTGACAGCTGCCCAGGACAAACAGGTACAGACCTCAGTCTTTCCGCTTGCATTTTTCGGACCAAACCAGAGTCATGGATGGACATAGGAAGAAGGCACATTCACGGCTTACTTGGCACCCTGTCCTCACGTCCATCCGAGCCAGGAGGTGGGCTTATTTGCTCTCTACCTGCCCCTGCTCTGGGGACAATTCTCACCACAGGCAAGGACCCCATCTTGCAGCCCTCGGGTTGATCCTGCTTCACATCCCACTCTAACCTTAGCAACCACACCTTAGCAACCTTAGCACCTGTTGGTGGCTGGTCTTGACCCTTTGGCCCATTCTCTTGGAGCTGTCTCTTACCCTTTCCTCCAATCTTCAGCAGCTGCCTCCTGCTGTGCTGTCCCCAGAGCCCGGTTCTGGGCATTAATTCCGGTCTTGTGGGTTCTGCTCCTGCCCTTCTTTCTTCTTTCCCAGTGCCTGACTCCTGATTCCATTTGCCTGGCCACTGGTGTCTGAAACACCAAGACCCACATGTCAATAGCTCCCAAAGAGAACCACCAATCTGATTGGCAGTAGGCTCCCTGCGCATGCTTTTGAAGTTCAGGACGCCTTAGCTGCCTGTCCCATCCCAGGCCAGGGCAAGGGCAGGGATGCTGGCCTCCATGTTGCCCACATCTAGGCAGGTATCCAGGTCCTG